GAGATAGTTTTAGCAAAAACCAGGAAGATTTGTATCAACTGACACAGAATGAAATGAGCAGAACCAGAAGGATAATTTATATCGTAACATCAATATTTTCATAAATGAATAATTCTATAAGACATAAGAACTTTTGATCAACACAATGATCAACAATGAATCCAAAGGTCAGAGGTGATGGATTACTATACAAGATGAGTAGCTTATTTTTTTGGATGTGGCCAATTCGTTTGGTTTGATTATGCTTATTTGTTAGAAGGATTTTGTATTTCTTTTTGTTTTATTTCCTCAGGGACATAGTGGACATGCTTGATAATGCTATGAAAGGACTGTAAGCTGCAGCTAATGACCCAGAAAGAGACTAAAATTATACAGCCTGGCTGAAGAATTCTGGTATGGCATTTAGAATAATCAGGTTCTAATCCCTGCTGTGATACTAACCGTGGGCCTTGATTTCCTCCACTGTGAAATGAATGGAGTGGACAAGATGTTCTCAAAGGTCCCTTTCTCTTCTGGCAGTCTGTAAGTCTATGGAATTTCAGTGCACATTTATCTCCACACCTGCTCAGCCTCAATCTTAGTAAGAGGGGAATCAACCTTCCTCTGGGACCTTGGGGAAGTAAGTCACTTCTCTTTTCTGGGAAGCAAAATCAAATTTTAAAAAAATCAGTAAAATCAAGGACTTGGATCATATAATATCTGAGTTCCCTTTTAGTACTAACATGATATTTTTGAAGGCTTTTTTTTTTTTGGTCACTGGATAGAGTACTGGGGCCTGCAGTCGTTAAGTCCTGAGTCCAAATCAGTCCTCAGACATATATTGTGTGACTCTGGACAGTTTCTTCATCTGCAAAATGGGGTAATGATAGCACATATCTCCCATGGCTGTTATGAGAATTAGATGAGACAATGATTTTAAAGTATTTAGCATGGTGCCTGGCACATAGTAAGCACTAGATAAACATTAGTTATTATTATTATTGTCATCATCATCATTATGGGGGTGTGTGTGGCAGTTTTAAGTCCTCCTTCATTCCCCTTCCCCAAAGCATTCATTTATAATCAAGGTCACCACTTTTGCCCCAACCCCCAATAATCCATTATTCTTGGATAGCAAGTGTGAAGAAACAACTAATTATTCTTGATAACTTGGTACAAAGGTTTATTACTTTCAGTAAGAAACTAATGGGTAGCTGGGCAGTGGCTTTCTGGTGAGTGACCTAGGGTCTCTGCTTCCCCCCCCCACGGTAGTGTTTAGGTGGCTTCTCCCCTATTCCCCACTCCACACAGGTGCAAAAAATTCCCAGTGAGGGCTCTCACTATCTTTGCTGTGTTTGCAACAAAGACAAGACACAAAGAAGCTAGGTGGAGCAACAGAAGGAGCATGGTATTCAGAATCAGGAAGACGAGTTCAAATTGCTTCAGTCACTTACTAGCAGTAAGTGCATGTGATGTTGGGCAAGTCACTTAATTCTGTTTACCTAGTTTCCCCAAATATAAAATAATACCACCTAACTCATAGGGTTGTTGTGAAGATCATATGAATTAATATACATAAAATGCTTTGCAAACATTAAAGTTCTACATAAATGCCAGCTATTAATAGCAATGTGTGTCAAATTGCATGGGAAATCAATTACTATTTTAACTCAGGAGAAATTGTGGAACATCCCAAAGAAAGGAATGAGTTGGGAATGTTATTATGGGAAAAGGAAAGTCATTATTTATCCAAGACAAAGCTAAGGCTATAACAGAATATAGTGTGCCCAGAACAGAATATAGTATGAAATATGAGGAAACTCCCTATTTGATCCTAACTCTTGTCAGCAAAGATTGTGTTTTATTCATTTTTGTATTCCCCTACCCACAGGCCCTATCAAAGTATTGCATGCATGGTAGATGTTCAATAAATGTTTTTTGAACCCTGACTGAATCAAGCTTATTGGGTAGGTACAGAAAAAATTAAAGTGTTGAGGAATGAGGCAAGACTGTTCTCATATGTGTACCCCCTGTTGCATATGCAGAATTTCTTGTAAAAAATATCATTTCTAATTAGAGAAGCAGAATAAAAAAAGATGGCAAAGGGACAGTAATATAGGTTAAGTTATTGATTATGTAGTTGATGTCACTCTGGTGACAAAATAGGAAAGTGAGCAAGTACTTAAGCATATACCAGAATAGCTGCAGCAAACATGATACAATATCACACGGAAAAATGTTGGATGGTGCATATGAGCTGGCTTCAAAATATGACCCACAAAGAACTTTGAAGAACAAAAAAAAAGAGATCAAAGAAAGAGGGTGTGGATTCAAATCCTGCATCTGATACTATCTCTATATCTATAGATATATACTATATATACTATATACACTATAGATATATACTATATCTCTGGGCATATCATTTACATCTCTCTGGGTCTCAGTTTTCCCATCTGTAAAGTGAGGAAGTTGAAGTACATGGTCTCTAAAGGAGCTTTCACCTCTAAATCTGTGATTTTAAGAAAAAAAATTAAAAGATGGGAGAAAAGAAAATAATAGCATTGAATAGTAAGAATTATATATATGCTGTAGAAGTACTTTAGGCTTTTTTACGCATATTTATTTTCTTTTGTAACATTTGGGTCCAGATATGACTCCTGCCCTCAAGGAACTTACAGTTTAATAATGGGAGACTTTTCTATCTCTTCCCTATAAGGAATTAATTTTGTACTATGGAGACCAAAACTGACCCCTTTGAGAATGGCATTGGAAACAGCAAGGGAGTCTGCTTTCACTGAAACTGAAAGCAAGATTCCTATCAGATCCATTTAACATAGGATACAAATAAGGACAAAGTCTGAATCTGTGATTTCAAAGTTATGTGGAACTCTAAGCTCCTTCTACTAATCCAAGTCAGAACTTTGTTTGCAAATGATAATCTCAGATAGTTGCCTGGAACATAAGGCAATTAAATGTTTTGCCTATAGAGTCAGTATGTGCCAAAGATGTGCCCAGCCTTAACCACTGAATGGGTGTTGCCTCAGGCAAACTGAGACCTGGGAAAGACCTTGGCTTGAAAAAACTAAGGTCTCCCACTGCATCCAGGACCATCTCCAGTTATCCTGATCTATGTCCTGCCACTGGACCCACATGCTTGTGGAGGAGAAAGTAAAGCTGGTGACACTCAAATACAATTCACTTTCAAGTCAAGACATCACTTTTCTGATATCACGGTGCTCTTTGAGAATGAAGGGCAAACAACAACAACGTCATCAATGGGACTTGAAATCAGTTCTTCCTGGTGTCTATCAGTCAATCAATAAATATTTCTTAAGGGTCTACTATGTACCAGGCACTGTGCTAAGCACTGGGGATACAAAATTAGGCAAAAGACAGTGCATGGAACTAAAGTGGGGAAGAGCCACCTTCCCCTTCTCCCTCTGGGTGCTGTGGCTCAGAAAGCCAGGATTAGGGTTTTGGTCTGTTTTATTTTTACTTTCTAGTTCTAGGCGCAGGCAGTAGAGTCCTCAGATCCAGGCCAGATGTTGCCACCAACTCAGCAGGGAAGACCCAAGAAATCAGGGTTCTGAGATGAGAGTCCAGAGGGTCTCTGGACTTAGGATTTAGTGGGACTGCATTACATGGAAACTGAATTAATCTCTGAACCTAATCTCTCTCCCCTCTCCTTCACAGAGTCCAAGAAAGTAAGTGTAAGGGGAGGATTATGTCTCCTAGGTGTTATGGGGAGCATGCTTGTCTAGTTGTTCTTGCCATGCCTTTGAAGTAAATATTTCTTCATAAAAGCTAAAGTGATTGTTAAGTGGTTAATTAGAATTCTGGAGGAGGGGACCCCCCCTAAAATATGGGGGGCATAATTGATGGGAACTTGAGCCAGTGGCAAAGACTAGATACCCCCAATGCCAATTAAAGATATCAGAGAACCATGAGAGTGGGGTAAAATGTAACATACCTAGACTTCAGGAAATAAGGGCCAGAGTAGACGCTGGGACACACGCGCGTGCACACACACACACGCACATGTATATATGTCACCTGATAGTGTTTGCATACGTACATATGTATTCACATGACATATATATTATGAATAATGTATACACATATGTGTGTAAATATATGTTGTTGTTGTTCCGTCATGTCTGACTCTTCATGACCCCGTGGATCATAGCACGTCAGGCCCTTCTATACTCCACTATCTTCCAAAGTCTGTAAGGGTTAATCTTCTAATGTCATCTCATCATTTTAATACTGTCTGGGATTTTTCTGGACCAAGATACCAGAATGGTTTGCCATTTCTTTCTCCAGTGGATCACCTTTTGTCAGAACTCTTTACTATGATCTATTCATCTTGGGTATCCCTGAATGGCATAGCTCAGAGTTTCATTAAGCTAGACAAGCCTCTCCACTATGACAAGGCAGTGATTCAGGAGGAGGTGTATATATACATAAACATAAACATATTATATGTATTTGCAAATATTCTATATATTTATATATACGCACACACATATATATGTGTATATATACATATATACACACACACATACACATATATATCTTTGTAACAACCCAAATACAACTTAGGAAGCAACATTGTTTTATTGCTTTATTCATTGACCTTATAAGAAGCTTTTAAAATATCATTTTTAACTATTTACAATATATCTATCAACACAAAAATACCTGTCACCTTGGATATAAGATTTCACAATATCTTTTTCCCTTTGCAAACTCTAAAAGTTATTAGCAAAAGAAAAAAACTGTTATTTGGGTTAAAGGAATAGCTCTCTCTCTCAGAATTTCTCCAACTTAAATTATATTTACCTTACATACAATATTGTACACAAAAGTAGTACATTAGAAGGTACCTACTTTTCCCAACTCTTCTTATGATAAGAAAAGCATACCATATCCAAAACAAGTGAAATCTGTTCTACTCAGCTCCAACTCCCAGATTTTAAGTCCTCATTATAATAGAAAATCAGTGAAAGATTCCTTACCTTTAGTGGAAAGCCGTGAGATGGCTTAAAGTCTTGCAAGGAACGAAACTGCCAGGTATTCCACCTAATCAGAATGACTCATGAGACTTTACCCTCTGATTCACAAACGTCACTTACTTCAGTGACAGTTGGTGTTAAATTTTTTCCTCTCAACTTTTCTGAAGAAATAGAAACTGTGTGTCCTTTCAGGCTAGTTTTGAAAAAATCCAAAAAGTAAATAAAAGCTTAATAGCCTGCAGGATATTAAGGAGCCTAGAAGGATGGATTCCAGTAAATGAAGGAGGATAAGAAACAAAAGAAAGGCAGAAGCATTGCTGGGCAAGCTGATCACAACCTCACAGAAAATAGCTTTCCCCAGAAGGGACAAGATGCCTAAGCATGAAAATAAAAAGGGTGTGGCACGCAGAAAGTGTCTATTTTCTTCCTCCTATTCAATTCTATTTATATCTACCTTTCTCTTTTTATTTTTTCCCAGTACTTCTGGATATCTTATTTTTTCAAGATTTTAATTTTGATTTTGTATTATGAACTTGACAAACATTAACAAATACATACGTTTCCACATACAAAGAACAGAAAAAGAGGTTTGTATGCAAAGCCATGAATCTGCATAATAAGAATTTATTTTCCAAATGTAACAAATTTAATGGGTTGTATTCTCTCCTGAGCATTTAAAAAAAAACATGTTACATTGAAGTTTTCTTTTCTTTTTATTTGAATCATTTTCACAAGACTCCCTTCACTCCTCCCAACTCTTTCCCCCTTAATTCCCATTCCTAAAAGTCCTTCCTTATAACAAATGAACAGTCAAGTAAAGCAAATCTAAACATTGGTCATATCTGAAAATGTTTGTCTCGTTCTGAAAATCTCATCCATCACCCCTCTGATGCTGATGCTGATGATGCTAATAGGTATAATTAATAATAATAATAATAATAACAAACAACCTGAAGGAGAGCAAAAATGCAGAGATAGCAGAACAAGTTACAAAATAAAATTTAAAAATAAAAGAACTTCAGGAAGGCCTAAACTCCTCACAAAACAAAGCAACCAAGCTACAAGACAGAGCTGATTGAGACAGTGTGGGAATTATTGGTTTCCCAGAAAAATAGGAAGAAATAGGTCTCAATACCATGTATCATGAAATTATACAAGGAGTTTGCCTGGAAGTATTTAATAGTGGTCAAATGGCAGATGATAAAATTCACAGGAAGCTGATGATGACCTTCAATTTTACATGCCTAGAAATAGACATAAAATTTCAGAACATTGGTATTGAAAAAAAGCTTACAAGTATCCAGGATCACATAAGGCACCAACCAAAATAATACAGTATTACTCAATACGGAATAGAAATATTAAAAAGGCAGGAAAGTTAAATAGTGAAAACTGAAAGAAATTGTGTGTGACTCCCAAATTGCCTATCCTGAAAAAAAATGTATTAAAGACCCCCCTTTTTTTTTCCAGGAAAAATCATGCCCAGAGACATTCATTTCTTTCTTCAAAGGAAAAAAAGACAAAGACAGCGTTTGACAGGTAAATCAACCATGAAGCTGAACTTTGAGAAAGTAAATAAGATTTTAAAGCAAAAAATGAGTGATGACTCAATGCTTACATGCTATAAGAAAGAAATGTTTTTAAGAAGAAACAGAGGCTAGGAAATCCATAGAATGTCTGATAAGTAATCAGTCATGTTCTAAGTACTTTACAATTATTACTTCATTTGATTTTACAACAACCCTGGTAGATAGCATTGTTATTATTACCATTTTACAGGTGAGGAAACTGAGGAAGGCAGAGGTTATGTGATTTGCTCAGTGACACAGCTAGTAAGTGTTTGAGGCCAGATTTGAATTCAGGTCTTCCTGACTACAGGCCCAGAGCTATCCAGTTCTATATTACTTGGCTGAAGTAAGTGACCTAGAGAAAGGAAAGAAGTAGGGGGTAGAGAAAGGAGGAGACAGGAGTAAATTTTTATATTATAACTTGGGTTTTGATAGCACAAATGAAGATCAAGCTAATTGAGAGGTGGGATGGGGAGGGGGAGAAGAGAGCATGTTTTGTATAGAGAAAAGATTTTGTCAATAAAAATGAAATCTCAGGATGATGGTGGGATGGGGGGCAAGGAAGAAATTATCTGTGTCTGCATACAGAGACAAGGATTGAAACAATAGAAGGAAAATCATTAATGTACACTTTGTGCTGATTTAAAAATAACAAACAGCACAATAGCAGGATGTAACAAACAAAAATCAGATGTGAAGACCCTTACCAATAAATTCTGGACACTCAGATGTAGCAAAGAGAAAGTTTTCTTTATTAGCTTTCTCAAGAAAAGGCACCCTCCATCTGCCTAAGATGGCTCTGGTGGAAGAGTGCAAGGGTGTGCTCAGCAAAGACAGATTATATAGATTCCTAACCACAACTCCTCCTCCCTAACCCCCCTCCTCTCAGCTCATTGGTGCAAGCCTTGAGGGCACAATCTATTCTCAGAAAGCCTACCCCAGTGGCAGAGAACAAAGACAGTGGCCTAGAGACAAGGAAAGGCAGGAAGTTTTTGCAAGAGTGAGTAAGCAGTTTTAGAAGGAGAAGGGGTGTGATTCCTCCCTGCTATGTGCCTAAAAACAAGTTTGGGAAGGGGGAGGGTCTGGTAGAGTACAAGATGTGTTGAAAAACATGTCTCTTTACAAGGTCAAACGATTAACTCTTTGAGGAGGCTCCACTCCTGAGAGATCCTCAGAGATCATCTCTCACAATCCCTCCTCTTAATTTTTTTACTCTTTGAAGCCTCCTCACACCATTCTTGATGTGCTTCTTCCATCAAATTGTCTTCTCCGCCCTCAGGCTCATTTCGATCTCCAGGGTCCACCCGGCTCCACCCCTGACCTTTTAAAATCTTCAGTTGTACTGACCCCTCCACCTTCCCTTCCAATCTGACCATTTTAGACAGGGCGTCTTGAACAGTTCAGGTAATTAGCTGCATCATGTAGGGGAGGCACACAGGAACTAATATTATGCCACTAGTAGCAATTAGCACAAACCACAGAATTTGTTTCCACCAACTTCCTCCAAACCAAGACCAGCAAGAAGTATTAAAGGGGAAGGACCAAGTTTGGACAGGGATGTGGGCAATTTTTCTAATATCAACAGGTGGACGAATTCAGCTTCCCACAGACCCCACCTTCCTCAGCCAATAGGTAATCTAGAACCAACCGATGCTGGAGTACGGCCTCCCTAGTCTGGGTGACTTGGTTGGCCAGTAGGTCAATGGCTTTAGCAGTTTGGTTGGTGATAATTTCTACTACAGCTTTGGAGTATAATCAACCTACTGAGTATGTAAATTAGAATCCTATAACCTCAGCTCCCATCTTGAGCCCAAGTGGCTGGCCCATATGTCTGGAGTATCCTTTCCAGGGGCCACTCATCTCCCCATCCATTCGCACTCCCAGTGCTGGAAATGGAGGTATCCAGAGACTTTTCCTGCCTGTGCTGGCCTAAATCATCATATAACCTCACCCCAAGGTTGCCTCCTTCTGTTCCAGAAAGGAGAAAGAATTTGAGGCAGACTAATCCAATATAGCATATCCCAGTCCAATAAGCAGGAAGGTGGGTGTAAGCAGTGAGGCCACAGATCCAGTAATGCCCCCTCAAAGCTGGCCGATGGTGATGGAACACAGTGGAATAATTCCCCACTATAGGGTAATATTCTCCGTCTTTGGGTCCCAGCGGCCCGCCCTCACTCCCATTCTCACACTCTCTTCCCACTTGCAGCTAGTCATGAGGGGATCTCCTGTTCTGTTCGTCTCACTTCAATACTCTCGGAAATAGCCCCTCTCCTCACCAGTTCTATTGGACCACCCCCATTCCGTATAGGGGACTTCTATGGTTCCCTCCACTCCCCCACATTGGAACATTTCTTCCCTTAATTTGATCAGTATGGTGTTCCCCAAAATTGTGCTTATGCCCCGGGGTACCTGTTTTGTTCCACTGCCGTTGAATCTCAGTGCACTTATATGATCTGATTCCTGAAAGCCCCGTGAAGGCTTTCACAACTACTCTCTCCTAACGGGGTCTTTCCCTCTGTTTGATTCAGACAGTATAACCCCTTCTTTTTCTCAGCAAGGGCCATGAGTGTTCTTCCCATTTTTCCAGGATCCTGTCCCACTATTAACTACTGACTTATTGCTAAGGAGCCATTCTGGCTTCAGGGGAACAGGGACCCATGGTCATTGGGATAATCTTTAGTGAGATTATCAATAGTTGTACTAGTCCCTTATTGCATGGAACTATACAACATCCTACAGCAGTTCATATTCTAACCATCCCTTTAATTAATTATCTATCTCAGAGTTCTCTGCCAACTCCTCAGCTAAAGTAGTTAAACCTTGCAATGCCTTAGTGATGGTTCTATCTGGGGCTGTGCTACTGGGCAACATTTCATCAGGGGATTTGGGGGACTTAAAATAATATGGGAGAAAGTGAACGACGCATTGACAAATTAAAAGGGGAGCAGTCCCCTTATTAAGTACACATACAGAGACCTAAAAGTAACGATAAATTGTCCATTTAAAGCTTCAGAAGTCTCTTCTCATACAGCTGTCTGACATTCTGGACATCACCTGGTGAAGTCCTCTGGTCCAAGTGCCATTCAAACAGTGTCCAACAGACTCTCCTCCTTCAGAGATCCTCCTTCTTGTGTCCTCTCCCCTACAAGATTTATCTTAACACAATTTTAAATTATCTTGCCTATAACCAGGGCAAATAATGAAAGTTAACTCAACCCCCATGTCTCCACTATTACAAGGGCAAAAGTGGAACCGTGGCCAGTTGCCATATTTTAAGAAACTCAAATTAGAAAAACTAGAACCTAGCCTTACACTCTGAATTACTTCTAGTTCCATATCTTGCATTAGTTCATTATTCATTCTTATTCATATTCCCCATCAGGAGGGTGAGATTCCACTAAGGAATTACTAACACTCTCCAATATGTAATAGTTAATTTAAAACCAGTACATATCAAATCACCTACAAATAAATAATCTTTAATTAAAATAGATGCTTCTTTCAAGGCATTTACAAGATAAGCCATAAGCTCATTATTATTTTTTTATAGAACAGTAAACTTAAATCCAATCAGATCTGAATTTATAATCACTAATGATAAACATTTAAAAAC